GGCTTCCTGGAATCAGCGGCTGATCAGTTTCAGCAGCAGCTGACTTGGGGACGCTTGGGGTTCTTAAGTTGATTCTGTATGTAAGTCAGAACAGGCGGTCAGTTTCAGCAGCGGCTGAATCTGGACGCCAGTTCCGACTTACATACAGATTCAACTTAAGAACAAACCTACAGTCCCTATCTTGTATGTAACCCGGGGACTGCCTGTATTCCCATTGGAAACAAACTATTACCCTAGGGGGAAAATGTGGCCAATGTGTCCTGATAAATGGCCTGTTAAACACTTATCTTATACACTTTTTTCTTAATCTGTGAAGTGTACTCTCAATGAGGTAGATTAGTAACATGAAATGAGCTAGTATGTGGGGGAATATAGAAAAATGTTAAGTATTGTGTTGCATAGTCTTGGTATAGCGAATTTGGATGACCGCTCATGGCTTTGGAGGGCCCCGCACTTTGATTAAATTGTGACTGTCCTGATATTTAGCCCTTTGTCATCCCGACCAAAGTACAATTGGGAAGCCATTTGTCTTGCTGTTCAGGTGAGGAGGTGGTGGGTGAGCAGGTGGGAGGAAATAAGGTGGGCAGACCGCATGGAGGAGAACAACTGTTGAGACAACAGGGAGGAAGATGAGGCGAACAGTCACTGGGTGGGTGCACTGGGCAGATAGTGAGGAGCCTAGCGGGAAGCCTGATTTGTCCTAGGCCCAGGGCCGGACTAAGGGGTGGGCAAGCTGGGCACCTGCACAGGGCGCCAACCGATGGGGGGTGCCTGATGTCAGCACGCCCGGCTCCCACAGCGCCGGCCCGTCCCCGTGGCGCTGGCCAGCAGCACCCTTCCCCCTATAGCCGCGGGGCCCTGCATGGCCAGGCCCGCCCTGCTCTGGGCTGTGCACCAGCAGTGGTGACCGGGCCAGGCCGGGGAGCACATGCGCCATGTGCCCCGGGGGCAGTGCCGCACGCCAAAATGGCTCGGGCCAGCCCTGCCTAGACCACATACCCCTTGTGGGAGGTCCCTGATGCTGTGTGAACTCCAATAAACTTTGCAGCTCTAATCTGTATGCCACATGATGCATTAAGACAAGGACCAATCTCCTCCTG